AAAATTCTCACCGCCAAGTTCAAATAGCTCCGCAAAGACTTAAAGCAATGGAAAGGGTCTCTATCGAATGTAAGAACCAATATTAATAATGTCAAGCTTGTTCTTCTTTCCCTACAATTTTTGTAGGAATTTAGAGACTTATTGTTGATTGAATAGAACTTCAAGGCCATTCTTGAGGCTAAGTTGGTGACCCTGCTCAACCAACAACATATCTACTAGAAACAAAGGGGCTCCATCAAGCGGGTTAAATATTTTAGTGGGACTAAGTTCTTCTACGCCAATGCAACTATCAAGTTTTGGCACAATCTCACTAAAACTCTAGAGGATGATAATGGTGTTTCTATTTCTGATCATCAACCCAAGGCTGAGTTGATATGGGCTGCTTTCAAAGGAAGGTTGGGTGTTTCTTCATTCTAAGGCATCAGTTTTACTCTTGACAATTATCTCACTTCATTAGGTGAGCTAGACTCTTTGGTGACACCTTTTACCAATGAAGAAATAGATGCAACTGTTCGAGCCTTACCCACAGATAAGGCTCTGGGTACAGGCTTCAATACCGATTTCATAAAAAAGTGTTGGCCAATTATTTGTTTAGATTTCTATGCTCTTTGCAGTTTTTTTTGAGGGAACCATTTGTTTGAGGAGTATTAATGGTTCACACATGACCCTTGTTCCCAAGAATGACCATGCTATCAAGGTTTTAGACTTTTGGCCTATTTCCCTAGTGAACACCTCTGTCAAAATTATCACAAAGATGTTGGCCACTAGACTACAAAAAATGATGCTTTGTTGATGCACCAAAATCAGTATGGATTTACTAAGTCAAGGTCTATTCAAGATTGTCTAGCTTGGTCCCTAGAGTATCTTCATATGTGTCACTAGACTAAAAATAGCTCATTATTCTAAAACTTGATTTTGAGAAGGCCTTTGATGATAAGGTGGAATGTGAGTTGATTCTTCGGATAATGCAACACAAAGGGTTCCCTCCAAAATGGCTTGACTAGATGAGGTTGATTTTTTGGCTCTAGGACTTCTTCAGTTATTGTCAATGGGGTATCTGACAAGGTCTTTCACTATAGGCGTGGTGTTCGACATGGTGACCCTTTGTCACCTCTTCTTTTTGTGCTGGTAGCTGATCTTTTACAATCCCTTCTCAATTCTGCAAAGAGTTAGGGCCTCCTCAACTTGCCAATTGCTTTGAGTCATTGCTAGGATTTTCCAATTCTTCAATATGCAGATGCCACTCTTATTTTTATGCAAGGATGTGCAAGCTAGCTCTTCTTTCTAAAGGCACTTTTGTACTCCTTTGCTGAGTCTACATGTTTGAATGTCTAACTATGATGATAAATCTACGATGGCCCCCATTAATGTGTTGGATGAGAAACTTGATTTGCTTGCCAACACCTTTGGCTGCTCAACAGGTTCATTACCTTTTACATATTTGGCTCTTCCTCTGAGCTTGATGAATCCCTGTGTGGTATATTTTGGCCATTAGTCTCACGTTGTGAGTGTCGTTTGATGAGCACCTCTAACTTCTTGAGTCAGGCTGGCCGTTTGGAGTTAACAAATGTAGTCTTTACTACTATGTCAACCTTCACCATGTGCACCTTCTGGTTACCTAAAACAATTATTAAGCAAATTGACAATTTTCAAAAGCATTGCCTCTAGTGTGGCTCTGACATCAATAATAAAAAGCCATCGAAGGCAGCGTGGCAAATGGTGTGTTTTCCCAATAAGAATGAAGGTGGATTTGGAGTTCTTAATCTTTAGGTCCAAAATGATAGTCTCTTCTGCTGAAAAGTCTCCATAAATTTTACAACAAGCTTGACATACTCTGGGTACACTTACTTTGGGAGAAGCTGTATTCCAATGGCAGATTGCCTACACTAGTACGTGAGGAGAGTCTCCTTCTGGTGGAGAGACATCTTAAAGTTATTGTTGACCTTCAAGAGTATTGCCTCTTTTAACTTGTATAGTGGAGCCACCTGTTTTTTGGCATGATCTATGGCAGGGTCAAATTCTTCAGCATGCCTTTCTAGAGCTTTTATATTTTGTTAAGGACCCCAATATATCAGTCCAAAGTGCTTGGCTAACCCCTCACCTTCACACTCTCTTTCACCTGCCCTCTCGGTTGAGGCTTTTGCTCAGTTTCAAGAATTCAGCTTCGTTGTTCTGGATCTTCGATTAGGAGACACCCGATTTAGATGTTTGGACCTACATTTGGGGCTCTCCCATCTTTTCCTCTAGCAAGTCTTACAAACAACTTATTGGGCACAGATAGGTACATCTAGTCTTTCGGTGGCTTTGGAAAACAACTTGTCAGAATAAGAGAGGAAAGTTTTTTTTTCTAGCTGCTCCTTAAGGGTAGACTGAACACAACGGATTGATGACTATATATAACTGCAGTTTTGGAATTGAAGAAAGCCTTCTTCATCTCTTTTTGGCCGGTCTGTTTGCGACCAGGGGATTGGGACGCATGGCATCTTCAGATTGGTGGCCTGATTGACCACTTTAATATATTGGTCAGCTTCAAGAATCAACTAGCAGTTCCCTTCTTCATGGAAGTTCTGATTTGCATGACTTGAGCCATCTGGACAGTCCGCAATTATTTGATCTTTAAGCAACAACCAGTGTCATTACAAAGGTGCAAAACAGTTTTCAGATAGGAATTTGCAAGAGTTATACTCCGTGCAAATGAACAGAACCGCCCTAACTTTGTTTATGGCTAGAAGCTTTTGTGTAATTCTTATGATTTTCTTTGTTTCATTTTTTGTTTCGTGAACTTTGTACTTGCAACTTGTCTATTTGTTTTAAATAAATCCAGAACAAAGGCAGCAGGCCTATTGTCGAGGCTGCCCGTGCCTGAATCAGGATTCGGGAGAGAGAGATGCCATTCACGCGTGTTGGGATAGCTTGGCTGCTGCGCCGAGGACGAGACGGCACGATCGAGCATGACAGTGCGGGAGAACGTGGCACCTCCAATGGCCCAGTGCAGGGATCCTCCTCCGTGGGGTAACATCAGCTTGAGGTCGCCTGCATATCCTCGGCCACGTCCTCCAGCATGTCCCATGCTAGGGTTAGGTTCTTGGTGATATATGCTGTCGTTGCCTCCATGCCACGAACAATGAGGCGGGCCGCCGCCACCATCGATTCGCTGCCGTGACCAAGGGTGCGGCCTGCCGCATCCGCTCCCAACGCCAAGCCGCTACAACGACCGAGGGAGCGGACCGCTGCTGCCGAGCCGCTTCCGTGATCGTTGGCTTGGGCCGTCGCCGCCGCCGCAGCCGTTGGTGGTGATGACATGCCCTTGTCCTTCCTATCTGAGGCCAAGTATCCTTGTTCTTCCTAGGCAATGCGGACATCTCGACATTGCCGGTGAAGAAGGAAGCCAGTGACTGGCGTGGAAGTTAGATCGTTGGTGTTTAGTCCCATATCATGTAGGTTGTTTGGGTTTAGTCCCACATCGTATAGCGATGGTGGGGAGCACAACATATAAGACGGGAGAATCCCCACCTATTAAGCTATTCTTTTGGGTTGAGTGAGGCCTAAAGGCCTTATATGTTGTCAGCTCCGGTGGACTTGGGACCTGTGAGAGTGCAGGCTCGTGGTAACGAGTCGGGCCGGCTGCAAGTCAGCTCCAAGATCGAGAACTCGGTGGTCATCATCGGTTCCAACAATTGGTATCAAAGCTGCCCAGGGTAAAAAAAGCTAAACCCGATAAAAATTTTCGACCGCCGTGTAACGATGGTGGCGGAGCACAACATATAAGGCGGGAGAACCCCCACCTATTAGGCTAATCCTTTGGGTTGAGTAAGGCCAAAAATCTTATATGTTAACATATAAGGCAAGAGAACCCTCACCTATTAAGCTAGTCTTTTGGGTTGATTAAGGTCTAAAGGCCTTATATGTTGTCAGCTTCAGTGGACCTAGGACCTGTGGGAGCGCAGTCTCGTGGTAACGAGCCAGGCCCGCTGCAAGCCAGCTCCAAGATCGAACTCGGTGGTTACCGCCGGTTCTAACAATTGGTATCGTGAGCCCATGGTTGGGTTGAGTAAGGCCCAAAGGTCTTATATGTTGTCAGCTCCAGTGGACCTATGACCTGTGGGAGCGCAGTCTCGTGGTAACGAGCCGGACCGGCTGCAAGCCAGCTCCAAGACCGAACTCGGTGGTCACCGCTGGTTCCGACAGGGGAGAAGCTGCTGCTGCCGAGCCACGAATGGATTTTTGCGCTTAACATCATCCCCGTGCGCGCCCAAACTAGAATTCTTGAGCACCCACACGGGATCTGCTCGCACAAGACGAGCCATATGACCCTGCTCCTCATGGCACTTGGTCCTCGGAGCATGGGCCCTCGCCTTGGCCTCGTGAGGCGACGGGGCGACCGTCTCCAAGACAAGCCGATGTGCTTTTTTTTTTGCAAAAAAGAAAACAAAGACGAAGATAGACCGAGATGACTCGTTGTATATGCCCTCAATGTTAATTTTGTCTAAGTTTGTAGAAAGTATATTAACATGTACAATATCAAGACATATTTTGTGGCACATTTAATTTAACTAATTAATTTTATGTTATATAGGTGTAGCTGCTTCTTCCTAAAACTAATTAAAGTTCAACAGCGTTGACTTTAGACAAAACTAAAACTGACTACATGTTGAAACCTGGAAGTGCCAAACAAGCAAACACAGATCAAAGCCGGCCGCATCGAACGCACCTCAGGTTTCGGAAGTACAGCGACATATATCAAGGGTTTTGAACATATTTAAACATCCAATTTAAACCCATGTAGTCTTGGTACTGTACTAGTACCAGAAACAACTCAAACTCTCATCAGCTTGTTCTTTATATAAAAAAAACTCATTAACTTGTTTGAAGCAGCCTCGCGTCAGCACACGCGAAACTTAAGTCTATCATGCAAGAGGAGATTATTATGGACATACTGCAGGTACTGAATGGATCGTCAGAGTTCATTCAAACGCCGCATACATGCAGAATGTGCATGCTTACTTCTGGGACCGTGACCGGAAGAACTCGTAATCTGGATGATAGTTCATGGTTTCTCCAGATGCCCTGGGCACCACTGCCTTCGACACGATGGACGCGCAGTGCCTCAGTGCCCTCATTTTCTTATTCAGGAGTTCAGCATGGTGGGTTTTCCAGGAACCGTTTGGTGTTGGCTTGGACCTTGATTGTTCTCCCAGTTGATACCACTTCTCTACCTGTAAATAAGGATTTTTGATAATATAACCCGACTATAAGTCTAGAATCAAAATAACATCTACAAAAATTAATATTTGTAAGGAACACATAGTTGTTTTCTCAGAGAAATAAAAACACACATTTCTAGATATACATTTTGTCTAGATACACAGTAAAAGCTATGTATCTATAAAAGCCATAACAACTTATAATATGGAATGGAGGGAGTAGTACTAAAAAGTGCCAGTTGAACTACTACCTGGTCTCTGTAACCAAGCACTCCGACAACCGGACAAATTATACGATGCAGCCCATCAGCCATATATGTAGGGCAAGTTTGTGGAACCAATTTGCCTAGGGAGTGGTATGTAAGGAATGCAGCTTGGCGGCTCCTTGAAGCTGAAGGTATCTGACAAATAGGATACCAGGAAACACAGTACCTAAAAATTAATAGAGCATCTGATTAGAACTTGGACAGAAAATGATCTTGTTAAAATTGGAAAACTCTAGCCAATATCAGGTCGACGTACCAGGAAGCTGGATGAAGATCACATAGCTTAACACTTTTGAGTTGCTTAGGGTCACCAAATATTGGAGTACCAGACAGGTTCACACCATTCAGAAGCTGTTTGATCCTATATTGCATGACAGCAAGTTCAAGTAGGATGGAAAAGACTCAGAAACAGTGCCCTGGAACCAGCCTCTATGTATAGAATAAATTATAAAAAAAGTACTAGAAAAATCAAAGTAAATAATAATAAGCAGGCATAACATACTTGGTAAAAAGTGGAGGCCGTAAAAAAGGCATTTCTGATTCGAAGTACTCAAACAAGAGTCCACCATGATTTTGTGAAAGTAAGCAAGGTTCCTCTGGTGTTCTAAACTTATTGCCTGACTGTCCAAACAACTGAACCGCAGATAGTGAAGGTACAAAATATGTTGATGAGTTTGCCCAACTAGAGTTGATGCTTCCCTGCATCTCTACCTCGATCCCACAGCACTCGGGTTCTTCGTACCATCTCCACACGCTCCACAAACACTGGTCTTGCAACCTGATGCTATTTGTTGTGCAAGATATCTGTGCAATGACTGGGGTGGACGAATGTAAAAAGGTTTCAATATCAGCATGGATGCCATAGATCATGTACGCATCAGATGCAGCTTGAATTTTATATGCATCATTAACGGCCTTAATAATCTTATCCAACTCAGATGATGCATGAGTACAAAATGCTTGTTCATTCTCTTGTTTCTTCTGTTCTTCCCTTTTAACACATGAAGAATTAGACAGATGACCCAGCGACGACAAAGTTTTATCAGAAGATGGTGCTATGGAATCTGTGTCTTTGGTGTCACTGTCACCACCGACTGGAGCCATAGCTTTCTTCTGTTGTTCCCTATCAACACATGAAGAATTAGCCAGATGATTATCAGAAGACGACGGTGCTGTATAATCTGTGTCTTTGGTGTCACCACCAACTGGAGCCATATCTTTTTTCTGTTCTTCCCTATCAACACATGAAGAATTAGCCAGATGACCCAGCTGTGACGAGGTATTATCAGAAGATGTTGCTGTAGAATCTGTGCCTTCGGTGTCACCACCAACTGCAACTGGAGCCATACTTTTTTCCTGTTCTTCCCTATCAACACATGAAGAATTAGCCAGATTACCTAGTGACGAAGTTTTATCAGAAGATGGTGCTGTAGAATCTGTGCGTTCGGTGTCACCGCCAACAGGAGCTTTCAGCTCTCCTTCCATGGGAAGACATCCTGGAGAACTAGTTTCCTCGATATCCTCTAGGCGGGTGACATGATGACGAGAAGTTGAACTCAGTGCCCCCTGCCTGCCAGCAACTGTTATAAGAAGCATTCTGCTGCTACCAGGAACATTCTCTCCATCAGTGTAACGAGTTTTTGACGCGTTGCTCAAACTAGGCCCCTTCTGGTTTTTTCCCTTTATTTTGTGGTTTGGTTTTCTGCCATTGATGCAATCATCTTGTATGTAATGTCCTACTGTAATAACCTCAGGGCGTGGAGCTGTTGGCACAAGTGCACGCGTTATAATAGGTCTTGAAGCAGTCATGGTCGGATTTTCCAAACGTTGCATCTTTTGATTTTCTGTGCTTCTTTTCCTGGAGATTACTTTCTGAAAATCATCACCATTACTAGCATAATCTCTGCTAGGCGAGCCTTCTTGGCTACCACTAGGACCGATTGCTAAACTGAGGCTTTGACGATGATCATTTGGTTTGCTTCCTTCACCACGCGTCTTATTAATAAAACCTCGTGAAGCTATGCATTCTGATGCAGACAATGACCGCTCACTTCTCGCATCCGACAAGCTACCAGCATAATCACCCAACATGGTGTTGTTCCATGCGTTACCACCAGTATAATAGTCATTGACAGATGAACTAGCAGCAGTGGAATATGAAGTAATGCTGTCAAAACTCTTGAAGTCGTCATTGCTGCTAGAAGATAGTTCCTTCTCATTAGTAGAATTAGATGTACTGTTGACAGCAGGAGAAATAAGTAGTTCTGTCACCAGAGAGCTGGAGGATGTGTTGAACTCCAACAGTGGTATGCCAACGGCAACATGGCTAGACGAGGACACCAGGGCTTCACCACCGGCCGCATCAGCGCATGAGGAAGAAGGTTTGGTGGGTGATGGCTCACTCTTTATTTCTGAAGCATGTGACTGCTTTCTACCCTTGCCCTTGCCTTTTTTCTTGCTGTTCTTCCTATTTCTTGTAGCTTTTTGTTTATCTGAATTTCTCTTGATAAAAGCACCTTCCAAGAAATCTGTATCATCAGGTGGCTTTGCTGAATCTTTTGGAAGTCCTTCACCCTGCTGAGTGCCAGCTTCAAGTAACAACGGCGCTGACGGGCCAGGAAACTGAAAGACATCTTTCCATGGGACTGGGCTTTCTCCATCCTCCACACCGCCTGACAAAATGTTCCAATAAGGTACACCTGCTCTGTAACAAACTGATCCCAAAAAAGCAGACCTGGAGAGGTAGTAAAGAAAAGTCGTCAAGTAATGAACTGAAACAAGAGAGAAGAGCCAAATAATAGCAAGCATGACACAATAAAAACAACTAAAGCGGTGAATATGAATTTAAACAAATAGGAAGCACGCCTTTTTTAATATACAACTGATATTAGAGCATTATTGTACTGTTCAAACAAACCAATGTCTTATCTTGGTTTCAAAAGATTAAAGCTAGCTTGCACATTATCACTATCCAAATCTCAAAACTTTCAAAACCACTATTTTAATTTATTGGTGGTCGACTCCATGTTCAAATAAAAGTGGTAAAAAATAAAATATTTGATCAGTAACATAGATAAAATATCCGTACTTCTTATGTCAGAGTGACATTATGTACATGCTTTTCATCAAAATATCGTACATTTAAAATTTTTCTACGACAGATGTATGGCACCCGTTTGTGGCATAGTGCTACCTCATATGCTATCCCTGATGGTCAACTATCTCAAATCTATACCCCCTCTCCCATGACCACCCTAGCCTTTTGCGTCCTTCCTAGAATATTAGAAAATATATCAGTCATGGCTTTTGTTAACTTACAAGTCAAGCTTGGCTCACATGGCACTTTATCTCGCTCTAACCAATTTTTGTGCATTATGCTTAGATGGTGTGTGCAGCGGTGGCAACTGTGTGTGTGTGTGGGCGGCACATATATAGGGGCTTGCACTTGTAAGACCCATTGCCCCTTCTATCTGAATTCTGTTCTATGATGTGGGTATTTTATGTTCATATGTAAAATTCAAAGGAAAAAATAAACTAGTATAGGTGCTCCTACTTGTGCGCAGATTGAATGTTTGTGGACCGAAAGGGCTAGCTGACATGGGGCTTTTAGCATATTATATTAAGCAATATAATTTGGAAGATATATCTATATCTTATGATCAGATGACCACTCAAAAAATGTGGTGTTGCAAAGAGGTATCCTGCAATTCCGCAAATTAGTGCTTCCTCCGGTTGTAAATTAAATATAATAGTCCATCCAAATTTGTCCTAAGTAATTTTTAACTATATCGCTATAACAATGTTTAATATGTCAAAATATGTGTTACATGGTTATGGGAAATGCCAAATCTTAGCATGATGGCTTGAAGGAGAAGCCCCCCCCCCCCGCATTGGCCAACAGTTCATCAGCTAGGGGTGATACAATGAGGGAATGGGGACACATTCGAAGTCAGTGTGTCTCATGGAACTCCGAGGTTGTTATAAACATACTACATTACAAACGCCTAGTTTGGAGACCAATTGAAGAACATCCGGAAATATTCACTTGTTACAAAATGCTAATGGAATACAATATAGCTTGGTGGGATGAACACATCAAATGTGTTGCAACCAATGTAGCAATATTCGAGAAATGTCCAAGGTTTTGATGAATAGAAATCTCATATGTCCCATCACGTGGCGCAAACATTTGTCAAGAATGTACACAACACAATTATTTACCATACTTTCCATTTATATTAGATGAGGTGTGTGTGGAAATAAAGAAACTAAAGGTTTTTGCATCAAAATAACATGTCCACAAAAGGTGTGGCAGCAAAGACGAGAGAGAGCTCATACAAGGAGAGAATCATTCCATCTCCAACTGTAATAGAAATTTTTTGTGTGGTCTTGCTACAGCCATAGTGCCTCTGGTAGTTTGAAGTAATGAACTTTGTATCGCTTTCCCATTTAATTGAATCAAACTTTATTTCCTTTACTTTTTCTATTATTTAAAAATCATTTCATTTCTAAATTATTACTTATATATTGGGCTAAGGTTTGTATAAAATGTTGCCTTTATATCCTAAACAGTACCGATTTAGATAGATGTAGCTTGTTGCCTTTCTGTCCTAAAATCACTGTTAGTTTGTTTCATAGTGGCCAATGTCAATGTTTTGTGGAAGTGTTATTTTTTCTGTAATGCATGTACCCTGTGCCATGCTAAGTAGAAGTCGGTTTAAATATATTCAGGAACGGAGTACTGCGTGAGTATTTTGATAAATATGCATCTTAGTGGTCAATGCTCTAAACTCGACTATAAAAGCATTCCAGAGAATAACAGAAAACAGGTAGATCATTTTGTTTTGAAACTAGAACCCATAAAAGGGACATGCTTTTGACAGAAGAAATCAATTACTCGCTATTCACCATAATGACACAAATCTATTTACTGCATCTATGGTTGAATGAAATCACATCACACATCATTGAATTAATTAATAACATTAAACTGATTTGCCGTGTTGACAAACAATAGATTTTCTGTTAGATAAGAGATGTAATTATGTTTTCTTTTGTTTCTTGAACGTGGATAACTCTAAACAACAGAGTGTAAACATGGGTCAATTATGTACGACTAGGGTTTGAAACTCACTCCATCGAAACTTTTATTGGATATGCATCAGCACATTATTCTACATTTGGTGGGGCTGCAACTGTAATATATACCATGCGAGCACAATGCTGGTAGTTGAAAACAATTTTTATAGGTTATTCAACTTAATTCATCATGAAAAGGACTAGTAAATATAGAAAAGAATATAACCGTACATCTGGTTCTGTCGTCGTTGTTCCTCCTCCTGCTGTCTGGCTTCTAATTCTGCTATTTGACGTTTCTGCAACATCCCAATAAACAAAAACAAATAAACTATACAAGAAAATACCATGTCTATGGCTTACTGTAACATATATAAACCCTATATATCCCAGGTTTGCACATACAAACTCTAAATTGCCTGGGTTCATCTTCTCTATGGGATGCCTGGATATGCGGCAGCGAGGTCTCCTCGGTACATCCCCATCAACAACGTTTACAGGGGTACTACTTCCTTCTCCTGGCGGCATATCTGCAGACCCTGTAGGGACAGTACTCAGAATCAAACCAGGACACACACACATGGAGGAGAGCTAGACTGCTTGTTAAAAAAAACACGAAAAGGCCACGGGAGGAAATGCCAGCGGATCAGAAGAAACAACACTAGTTCTTAATCATCTACAAGATCTATTATCGACCCTCTGACTTGATGGCTAGTATACTAAGCCATCATATTTACGCAAAAAGCTGTGAAAGCGGACATCAATCGAATTCCTTAAGTTGCTAGCATGTATCTCGTATGTCATGCAACTTAACCTGCAATCTGAGACGACATGCTGGAAAATTACAAAGGCCATAGCAGTAGAAATCCGATCCCCACCGATCTAGGCACAACCATCACTAAATCAAACCATCCCTGCTTCCTTCCTCACGCACCCCACCCAAAAAAGAACTCATTCCAACAAAAAGTATCAAAATAGAGTGTAGAACCGTAGTTGCACATGCAGCTGCAGCTCCAAAACAAAATTCTGAGAATTTCTAGAGGAAAAGAGCCAACAATGCTGAACTCAGATTGTGACACTACTAGTTTGGCAAGATTAATGCTTGCACATACCGTGGGAAAAATCTGATGCTTTCTGTATCTTGGAAGAGGGAGAAGTAGGGGAGGGTGAGCGCGAGACTGGAGACTGAAGAGGGCCAGGGAGAACACACTAGCTAGGCAAGGGGAAATGGGACCACCATATGGTGACTTATCATGTATTAGTATTATACAGAGAGCCAGGGAAAAACGTGGGTGAGACCTCGAAACTAGCTAGTCAATTTGATTTTTCCTACTACTTTTAACTTTTTGTTGAGCACAGTAACGTATTGATAGATAGGAATATTGTCGATATGTATTACTTCTTTAATAGAGGGACAGCTGTACCAAACTAGTATATTGAATTGATGAAATGAATATTTTGGCTGTCCATCTATACAACAGTAATTAAATATGGTGGTATACATGGACCCCTCCTTTTTTTTTTGCATGCAATAATAAATGTGTGCGTGGCAAGCTAATGAAATATAAGTAGGTTCTACACAACTCATCATGTTATAAGAAACTCATAAATGTTTTCTACTTCTTTAAGATTCACTAGTTTTGCATATATTAAACAATGAAATAAATAGTTTTTGTGTGTATATTATATTCATGTATTAATTTAGTTGCCCAAGTATTCTAAACAACTCATATATCTTTGGGATGATATCTAATCTTCTCTCTCTCTCTCTCTCTCTCTCTCTCTCTGTACCCCTTATAATAAAAAAATAAAATTGTTAGCTATAAGAAGATATAGACATTTATTTGGACGTATCCTAAGGTAGACCAAGGCATCCCTAAGATCATGTACCCTCTTGGAAGCATATTTTCATATGCTAACTTCTGATAATAACTAGTCCTATGTCTCAATACATCAAGCCATCCTTAAGATAGACCATGCACCCTCTTTAAAGCATACTTTTATGCATGTCAACTCTAATATCCAGTCCTGTGCTGTAAAGTGATCGAGTACCTTTTTATTTGCATAGTGTTGTCAAAGAAATGAATTATACAACAAAACATGTTTTGGCTAATGCACCTATTTTTAATGAATACCTCCTCCGTCCCAAAATAAGTGTACCCATCGCTTATCAAGGAGTCAAACTCTTTTTAAGTTTGACTAATTATATAGAAAATAATATCAATATTTATATCTCCAAATAAGTTTAGTGTAAAGGTATATTCCACGTCCGATCTAATAATATTTATTACACATCATAAGTATTAATATTTTTTGATATATTCGGTCAAACTTAGAAAAATTTGACTCCTTCATAAGTGAGATGTGCACTTATTTTGGGACAGAGGAAGTAGGTGGCAAAAGATGGTGTCTACCTGTGCATTAAGCTAGGGCCCCGTGGCCAACCACCATCTTTGTAAAAAGATATCCAAACAGAACTATTTCTAGAGGTGGCCATATTAAGTGACCACATTTGGAAATGCATTTTACCAAGTGCGGTCGCTTAAGATGACTGCTTCTAGAAATGCATTTTTAGAGGCTATTGTCGCATCTAGAAATAGAGGTTGTGCATATCAACTAATAACATTTTTATGTCAACTCGGATTGGGACAAACTTCATAACAATATTGTAGAACTCTCAATGCATCTAGCCCCCAATTTTGGCTTTGAGTTTTCGATGATTGATGAACACAAGTGTTTGTGACTAACAAGAGTTTTGCAACGGACATATTTACATTATTAGTCACTTGTTAGCCACATGGTTTATTGGTTTTCTTGGCCACAATGATTGTTGTCAAGTATGGAGCAAAGGATATTCATGAAGACTATGGACTCTATAGGGTCAAAGTGCAAGCTTGGTGATAGGAGCACTTGACATAGAGTGTATATGGCTTTTTTTCCTTAATTTGGATGTACTATATATATTAAGAAGTGTCTAAGACAAGCATGCAACTTGATGGGAGTTCGAGCTAAGAGCACAATTAATTTAAGTGGTACACTCTCACCAAGTTTGTGCCTTAGTGGCCTCATTGGATTGTTTTAAGTCAAGGATCTCAAAAGAAGTTGATCTGGACAAGATGGGACTTAAAACAAGCTGAAAATATGCACAGAAAGTGCACTTGATAATTGGGGCCAACCAGACATATTATGTGGTGTAACTATGCATTATTTAGTTTCAGATTTGGTCCTAATACCAAGTGGTCACCATATGATCCAATGTGACTTCGTACCTTACGAATCATCCGATGACGCCCAACC